ACAATGGAAGTTTTAAGACACCATACTGAAAACTTTATCTGATCCATACAGATAAAATAAACATTCACACAGGTAAGTTAATTCAAATGTAGGGGGGTGTTAGGACTCACTTCAAGCTCGGCTTCGATCTCTTCACGCTCGTGACCGGTAGCAATTGGCATTACATCCTCCACTCGGGTCTTCAAAACACCAGTTTCTACTCAAGCATTACACGCAAAGGATCAAATTCAAATATTCAATACTATCTCTAGGCAATAAAAAATAGCATGTAAAAAAATGAAATCACTCAAAATCTCATGATCTGGTGAAACTCTGACACTCAAAATCGCAAAAACATCCAAAAAAATTGAATCGGTACCGAAGCCACGAGAATGGAGGAAAAATGAAGGGCGGAGCACGGAAGCGGACGATGGTGCGGCGGCGGCGGGGCTGGCAAATCGGCCGGATATCGGAGTGGGTCGGAGAAGATGGACGGAGAGCCTTCTCCACATGGTTGCCGGTACAGGATTACCGAATTCCTCTCGATCGCCTTGGAAATGAAAAATGATACTGTACAAACGGACCATATACTCCGGGCTTTCTATGTTTGAGCCCAACAGTTCATACTAGCGACAAAAAAGAATACTGTAATACTTTGGGCTGTATCCAAATTCAACTGCGTAAAGTCTGAAATAAGCCCATTATAAGGGCTTCTTATAATGTTATTTTTATTGTAATTTTATAAACCTTGATTTGCTAACTTTTCTCTTGCTAATATAAATGCTAAATTTTACATTGAATTATTATTATTATTATCATCATCATATTTTAATAAAATATATTTCTTTTTGATCTTTGGCGTTCTAATAATCATCATCCGAGTTTTTATAAAAACTCATTATCTTAGTTATATTTTTATCAACCTAAAACATTTTTTAAACAAAAAATTGTTTTATAGCATTAAAAAATTATTTGAAGTTTATACTTTAAGAGAATTAATGTATTTATAAATGTTTACAATATAATCATAATCATGTCACCTCTTGCGCTGCTATATAAAGAATTCTTGTAATTTATTTTATATAAGTACGCAGTATGAGTCTATGTTTTTTAATACACGTACGCAATATGAGTCTAATTTTGAAATTTTATGCTTCGTACATATCATTATTTAATTAAGTAAATTATATTGGATTGAAATAAACTCACTCAAACTTTGTTATCTAGAATGAAACATTCAATTCGGGACAAAGGCAATATCAAGGCAACATCATTAACAAATATAAAATTAAATTCTTAAAAAAATAAAAAAATATACACATACAAAACATAAAGTTGATATAGAATCTAGCTATACCTAAGATTATATTTATAAAGCACAAAGGTGGATTAAAATTTTGGAGCCCTATACTTTTGAAAACATGGGTTAAACACTTAAACCCACAAGACGACCAGCCTTGATATAGTTGATACAAGCCTTAATTACAAGTTATGGAAGACGATGGGGGCTCCATGTTGTGGTTGCAAAAGCATAAGCACGGTCGGAGAATGTTGGTAAGACGGTGCCAACTCAAAGGAGAAGCGTTGAAGGATCATCGCCATTGCTAACTTGGCCTGTAATATGGCCAAGTTTTGCCCGACACATTTTCGTTCCCCTTGACCGAAGGGCATGAAGGCCATCGCGGGATGGCTGCACGGCGTTTGGCATCCTGGTGGTGGCCGGGCAAACCTGGCAGGGTTGAACTCGTTCACGTCATTGCCCCACAATGTGGGGTCGTGATGTATGGCTATGATTGGTACGAGGAGTTCTGCCCCCTTTGGTACCTTCAGCTCCCCGAGTTGTACGTCCACTTTCGCTCTTTTGACAATGGCTACTATTGGTGGGTAAAGCCTCAATGACTCGTTCAGAATCATTCCTAGCTGCAATATGACCGAGAAAGACTTGTTGTTAGAAATATGGTCATTAAAGTGATGCAATTTGTGGGATGCAAAATGCGTGGGGTTTTGTTCTAGCTGGTCGGGCCAGACTGAGAGCTTATCGAAAATTAGAGCGGTATGTGTTGGGACCGCACTTATCCTCACCTCAATCCTGCATTAGTTCGATATTGTGGATTCTAGACCAAGTTTTCACAATTTTCTTTTTGAACACCTCTCAAATGACTTCATACAAATGATTAATCGTGACACATGAAGTGGTTGTTAATATAAAACCCACCACATACATATTTTTCCAAATATGTCCTCCGTCCCTAAAAACCTTTCTCTTTTTTTTTTATCCGTCCCTAAAAACAAATGAGATACACCAAAGTCTACCCCTAGCATTGCTCTTTTTTTTTTACCGTTTTGAGATTGGCAAGGTCATCCTTGGAGGGGGGGTCATGTGCACCGCAAACCCTAAGCACCTCCTCACGTGCCAGCTCCTGCCACCGCGGATGCATGGCCAGAAGGACGGTGGTCCACGCCATGAGATTCGACGTCGTGTGTTTCCCGGCAAAGAATAGGGTCTTGCACTCCTCCACCACATCGCCGGTGGTCGCCGCCGCCGCCCTACTCGCCCCATTCCCGCCAGCTACAACATTATTATGGTTAATGCAGGTCTCTTTGATCATCAAATCCAATAAGCCTTTTGGGCCGCATTCTGTTGGCAAGTCCCGGCCTCCACTCGGCGACAAAAGAGCCCTCCTCCTCTCATCAATCAGCCTCACTAGAGAGCGTCTTACTTCTTTATCCAATCTCCAAAACGTCCTATTCTTCTCCGTTGGCAAAAACCTATCATAACACATTATATGCAACCACTTATGTAAGGTATATTCACTTCACCAAATTTGGTAAAAAAAAAGACTAAAATATAAGTTAAACGGTGTCACATTGTCGCATTTCAATACTCGTAGCTATTTTAAATATTTCAAAAATGTTACTCCTATTTAGAAAATAGGGTTATGTTTCTTATAAATTATGACCCGTGGGCAGAACCTCACTTATGTGTTGGGCGATTCGACCTTTTTTCACGGGGGGGGCATTCGTCATAGGCGGATTGGGCTCGGCATCCTAGGTCCAACTATAAATACATAAATGAATTGGGCTAATTGTATTTGGAATTTTGGCCAAAGGTCAACTTCCAATAATGTACACAATACCCATCAAACCCACTTTATACAGCTCTGTCTTATACAGTACAGTGTTAACATGCCAGTCATTTTTGTTTTCTTTTACTTATATTTGTTGATGTAATTTTTAAATATCTAAATTTGATTTCAAAATTTTTGTATACTAACAATTTCAATAGTTAAATTAAAAATGAATTTGACCAAATCTTGTGTTACGGGCAAAACAAGACTTTAATTAGTTATGGGACTATTTTGACTAATGGAGAAGAGACAAAAACAAAAAAAACAGAGACTAAAGAAAGTCTTACTTCCTCCGTCCCAAAAAGACCTTCCTGTTTCATTTTTTGCGCATCTCATAAAACATTTCTATCCCGTCTCAAATGCAAAAAAAAACTTTCAAAATAACTTCTACTCACAATAAATGAAAAATGTGGTAAATTTTAGGCATTTTAGATGTGTGTAGAAGTGTTTTATAGGATACGCAAAAAATGAAACATGAATATCTTTTTGGGACGGATGGAGTAGGTAATATGTACATATATATACCTGTGCCCAGGAATAAATATCTTCCGGAAAGCCTCGGTGGCATAGGCCATCTGTTGCGCCTGCAGTTGGAAGATGGATGATGATGATGATGATGATGATGATGATGATGATGATGATGATGATGATGATGATGATGATGGGGTTCCGTCTTCTTCGCAACGGTGTCCGAAGATGACGTGGCAGATAACGGATTCCGTCAGCCTCTCGAACCACTCGCAGACATCGATTTCCACCTTCCCCGTCGCCGTCTTTGACATTTCCGACCACTTGTCCAACATCTCCCTCACTCCCTTCCCCATTGTCGGGACCATGAGCTGTAATTTTTCATTTTTCATTTTTTTCATTTATTAATTATATAGTCCGATAATATTAAATGAATAAATAAATGTACGGTCAAACAAATCTTAAAGTGCTCCGTAATCTGTGTGGCCTTTTACATTTGAATTTGACTAATTGCGTAACGGCTTTGTTATTATTATCTTTTTTTTACTGTGTTTACATTGCTGAAATCATGAATGTAATGGTTGACTTCCTTGCACACTTTTTTTAAAATTATTTATTATTTTAATTTAAACCAAAGAAAATTGTCTCATAAAAAATCAATTAAGAGTGAATGGGATTCACTTAACTAGGGGACACAACAACATTTAAACAATTGGATTTAATGAAACTAAAAAAGATTAACTGAATCCAATCCATTATCTGATCTCGTTTAATTCAAGACTTTATTGTTCATTTAGGAAATTGTTAAATTCACTCTTTAATATAATTCGTCTCCTAATCTTTTTGTATTGGATTTTTTAACAAAATCGTAGACTCTAATTGTAAATGATCAATAACTGATTAGATTCAATATTATATCTCACATTGAGACTTAATCCAAAATAATGAGCTAATTCAGTATTAGTATACTGAATTAAATAAAATATATAATCTACTTCTAAAAATTAAACTATATAATCGGTTGAGTTCAATCTGTTAATGTGATTTGTGTATATTGAGAATCGAGATATACGGAATATATAATGAAGAGAAATAACTTTTTCTTTTAAAAATCTTTTATGGGAAAAAAAGAAACTTTTTTATACGAAAGAGTATTTAATAATTCATCGATCACTAATTAAAAAGAAATTAGTGAAAAAAGTTGATAACGTTAGTAAAAAATTAATATTGGATACCAAATGAATGGGTACTTAATTATTAATTTAAAAGTTATCTTTATTAGTGCTCCGTAATAAATTAAATTAAAAGTAATTTCTTACGTACCAACAAAAGTCATTTCTTTTTAACTCGATCCCAAATTTAAAGCCATTAATTAAAGACTACGTGTAGGGGAGCACAATTAATATTTTACAGCCATTATCGAAATAAATTTCAGTGTTTAGCTTTACAGACTTTAATGAAAATATTAAAAACAACTCCATATTTTAATGTCCTGGTTTTTTTTCTAAATCTAACCTAACATGTTGCACTTTTGAATCATAAACCATATTGCAAAAAAAATTAACATATTACAACACTCTTTTACGCCTTCCCTAGTATGATATTTCTCGAGCCTTACTCGTACTAATTGTTGATCATTTACCTTTAGCCAGCTCTCCAAAAATTTAATTAAAAAAGAAATATTTTAAAAAACATATCAAAAGAAGTACTCCCTCCGTCCCAAAAAATTTGTTACGTTTAGAAAAAATTGCGTCCCGTAAAGTCTGTTACATTTCTATTAAAAAACCACTTTTACTCTTACTTTTTCATACTCTACCTATCACATCATACCTTTTTTCTAATAATCTAGCCATCACATCCTACTTTTACCCATCACATCAAGGGTATTTTTGGAAAGCTAATACCAAAATATCTCTCTCTTAATTTCCCAAAAAGTCAAACCGTCCCATTCTTTTTGAGACGGAGGGAGTATATGAGAGAGAAAAATTCGAAACGATTCATTCTTATATAAAAAGTTGGAATTTAAAATCTATTTTTATGTAACCGAAAAAGATAAAGAATAAAATTTATTTTACGAAAAATTAAACAAATTAAATCGTGGACTCGTTTGACGACAGAATAAGGGTTACCATTAACATTTTGAGAAGGTTATTTTAAAATAAATCTACAACATTAAAATTGTATAAGGGTTAGCATTATTATCATTATTCCATACCTTGAGATTTTCTAGGTAAAAGGCCGGGGTGATGAGTCTTCTATGGTGAGCCCATTTTTCCCCTTTGAGATTCAACAAGCCGTCGCCTTCCAGCTTCTTGACCAGCAGCGGTGAGTCGTTCTTCTCAAAGTATTCCGATTTCGATATGAAGATCTCCCGCAGGAGCGTTGGGTCGGAGATGGTCACCCTCGCCATCGTCCCAAACCACACCACAAACGTTGAACCTTCGCACGCATAAGGAAAGTAATAAATAAATTATTAATGGACACTCCCTCCGTCCCAGAAAATCTTCCTCATTTCTTTTTTCATCCGTCCCAAAAAACACTTCTCATTTCTATTAAAAAGTCACTTTTACCCCTTACTTTTTCATACTCTACCTATCACATCATACCTTAGCTTTTTACTAATAATCTATCCATCAAATCATACTTTTACACATCACATCAAAGGACATTTTTGGAAATTCAATACCAAAATACACTCCCCTTAAATCCCTCTTCAAAATCAAAACACTCATGTTTTACAGGACGGAGGGAGTATTAAATTCATACCATTACGTACGTTCTTAGAGTATCGTACTAAAACATCCGATCGATCCATAAGCCTTCAAGCACAAGTTTTATCAATTTTTTGCTTGAATTTGATTTTTTATATAGGATCAGAGTCTTGCTGACGACATATAAGTCACGAAGTTATTAAGTACCAAAAAAACCTCGCTTCGCTTACATATGAGGAGTATATATATATATATATATATATATATATATATATATATATATGCATATTATTTGATCAAAATTAAATCTAAAATTTGGCCAGAAAGGTTAGATGGAAAGAAAATTTACGGACAGATAGAGCTAGAGTTCGAGTAATAATAAAAATGTACCATAGATTTTCTTCCAGTGTGAATAGAAGGAGAGGACTCTAGGAAGAATGTCATGGGAGAGGGGCATGGGGTGGGAAGATGAAGGTGTCAATCTTGCAATCTCTTTGATGTTGCCAAAGAAGAAATTATATTTTGGACCAAAAACTCCCTGCTTATTGAAATGGGTTTCGAATCTTCTTGGGATCCACCATAGGTGCAAAACGGTCTTTAGTGCTAAGAAGATGAAGAGATATGCAATAACCAGAAACCACAGCCATGGGAAGTAGTTTTCCATCTTTGCTTATTATGATATTTTCTTGTAGAGAGAGAGAGAGGGGGGGAGAGGGCTAGTTTGGGAGAAGGTTAATGAGGTTATATATATATATACATTTGTTTGAGCAAAAGAAAAAAACACACACCAAAATCTTAGGGAAAAGAGTCAAATATGCTTTAATGTTTGCTCCACTTAATTAAAAGACAAACAAAATACTACTACACTCTGAAAACGTTTCTCCTTTCTTTTTTTCATTCGTCCCAAAAAACATTTTTATTTCCATTAAAAAGTTATTTTTACCCATTACATTTTGATACCTTACATATCTCATCATATTTTTTACTTTTACCATCACATCAAATGACTTTTTTAGAAATTCAATATCAAAATATACTTTCCTTAAATCATTTAAAAGTCAATAAATCCCATGTTTTTAAGACCACAGAGAGTATCTAACTTTTTTACCTTACTCATAATGGTTCGAGTTTTATTCATAAACTTAGTATAAGATCACTGTAGTTCTTTTGACATCAAATTTTGAGTATGATACGGTATTATGACACCGATAAAATAAGAAATAAAGTGAAAATATAAGTTTCACAAGTTTCTCTTGGAAATGATGCAAGGGAAGGAGAAATTATAAGTTTCACAATTTTTTTGTAAAAGTGAAAAATGAAACTTTTTTTGGATTAACGAAAAAAGAAAATATGGAACCTTTTTATGGGAGAAATAAAGTACTCCCTTCGTCTTACAATTTTCTTCCTAGTTACTATTTACATGATCAAACTTTAATCACTTTTTTAATTTCTTTAGTTATTTGATAAAATAGAGTAGTCATATCACCTTTTGTTTTGTGAAATTTTGATGTAGTCTTTAAGTATAAAGACTTTATTTTTTAATTTTAGTTTACACCAACAATCAAATAAATTAAATTGAAAATAAAATCGTTCAAACCTCGCAAATAGAAACGGAAAAAGTTTTAGTAGGGAGGGAGTACTAATTAGGGAGCAACTTCACTCGATTCCTACCTCGTAAACAGAAATGAGAAATAGTACTGGAATAATGTCTAGGGGCGTGAACATTATCTTATAATAGTAGATATTTAGTTTGAACAATGTCCAATGATGTTGGACATTTACTTGAACAATGACCAGTGGTACTACATTGCGAAAATAAAAACATATGGTATTACATTGGGAAAAATCACTATGTTTTAGTACTATTTAGAAAAAATTCTCCTTTAAAATACTAAAATTAAATATCATTATCAACAACAACAACAATCTAGTGTAATCCTACGAAAGTAGGGTCTGAGGAAGATTGATGTACACAAACATTGCCCCTATTTGAAAATAGAAAGGCTATTTTTAAGAGACCCTAACTCGGACAAAACATAAAGCAGAGAACACGAAAGAATATATATATATATATATATATATATATATATATATATATATATATATATATATATATATATATATATCATCTATTATAAAATTAAAAATATATATTTTTGTTTTTTTATAAAATGGCACCGAGTGGTAAGAGATCCTTTGGGGGTGCTAAAGGTAACTAGAGCTTCAAGAATACTAAGTCCGCGCCGCTTCAGTCGCAAGCGGCAAGTAATCGAAGCAAGCCTTCCAGGCATCCAGTATGCAATCTCTATGGAAGGAATCACCCTGGTGACTGCTGGTTCACACAGGGCTTATGCTTAGGATGCGGGAAGGAGGGATACTTCCGCAAGGACTATCCTACTAATCCTTGTTTTATACTCCCTCTGTCCCAAAAAGTCTGTCATGATTCGAAAAATTTGCGTTCCTTAAAGTCCGTCCAATTTATATTAAAAAACCACTTTTACCCCTTACTTTTTCATACTCTACCTATCACATCATATTTTTTTCCTAATAATCTACCTATCACACCCTACTTTTACCCATCACATCAAGGGTATTTTTGGAAAGTCAAAACAAAATTATCCCTCCTTATTTTACCACTTTAGTCAAAATGTCTCAATCTTTTTTTGGGACAGAGGGAGTATATATATATATATATATATATATATATATATATATATATATATATATTATAGGGGGTGGTTCAGGTGAGAATGCACCTTGGTGAAAGAAATAAGAATAAAATCTAGCCTTTTGATCTGATGCATCGTGCGGCTCATATTGCATCCTGCGCTCAGGTTTTGAGATAGTGCATTTTCAAAGGATTATGGTGCATTTCAAGGTGATGCATTTTAAAACCATTTTGATGCACCTAATTTTGATGCAATCCTGACCCTTAGATCTCACAATCTAAAGCACCAGATTCATTCTTATTTCTTTCATAAGATTGCATTTTCACCAGAACCAAAATCTATATATATATATATATATATATATATATATATATATATAAAATTTTTAGATATGATATTTTTTTTTAAAATAGAATTTTTAATTTAATTATTTATTTACATTTATATAAATATATAATTGTTTTTGTAAAGTAACAAAAGGGGAAAATGTTGAGTAGTTTTAAAAATTTATATAAAACTTTGGTTCAATTCTCCAAATAATACGGAGTGAAACTTATAGAACCATCATTTTAAAATACTAATTAAATAATTTTGTAGATTAAAAAACTTAAAATGGTGAAATGCGTATTGGTATAATACTTACAAAAAAGGTTTATACAAAACTAATTATCATTTCATGCAATAATAATTAAAAATATTTAAGTTAATGACAACTAAAATATTAGATGTCTATAAGTTTTCCTTTGGCTTGAGTGGTAATTAGAAATCACACCCCTCAAGATTTATTACGAAGTTCACCCAGATTCAAGCCATATCGTAGACAGATGCATCGGTCTATTGTGCGTCACTGGTTAAAAAAGTATGAACTGATACTCCGGATCCGTAAATGCCAAAGTTTTAAAATTGAATATGCGAGAAATGGTGGGTAGGTTTTAAATTTTTTATATAATCTTATTTTGCAAATTAAGAAAATTTATATACTCAGGGAGTCAGGGGTAAGTGGGTAACTATTTAAAATAATAACATAATTAAACATTATGAAGTATATTTAATTAATGGAGTGTATTGAATGTTTTAGCGGGTAAAAATCAAAATACCCTAATGTCAAAGTAGGTAAAAAAACTTAGTGTTACTTTTACACATAAAACAGAAAAAGTAATGTCTTCACTGCTGTTTTCACCGTCACGCAACATATCATTAATGTAACCACTAACCGGTATAACACATCACGCAATTAATCCCTACGTTCAAAAATAGATGTCTTAATTACTATTTTGATATGTCAATAATTTTTATTTATTTATATATTTTCATTGATCATGAGATAAATAAAATCTTTTTTTACCACATAACCTTTTATTTTATAGATTTTTTAAGAATTTACACATTGTCCTCAGAGCAACATCTATTTCAGACAAAGGTGAATTTTATTATCTGATGGTCGCAATTGGTAAAAAATGATTTGAGTAAGGGCGAAGTGTGACGTATGCTAAATTAAATTAGAAATTATCCTAAATAAGAATAAAACATAGAGAAAAGTATCAAAATAGAATTTTCATGTTTTTTCCCGAAATAGGACTTTGCACTGTGGTAATGTGGCAGTATACATGTGCACATTACTATACTTTTTTGTAAGCAAATTCCCAAAATAGTTCTTTGTAATAAAGTGTTTTCCCAAATCAGTTCTCAATAAGTTTTAATTATCTACGTGGTCTTCTATAATTGAGATTTATTACCAAGATGGTCCTTCGTAAATAATGTTACTCAAATGAAGATTAATTGAGGATATTTTGGTATTTTTATCCGCTAAATTTAGAATTAGTTCTTAAAATGAACATTTATAATAAAGTGCTTTCCCAAAATGATTTTTTTCCAATTAAAGATGTGTATTTGATTTGAAATTTAAAAGATTTTTTTAAGTTTTAAATAATTCTTGAATTATTTATAGTCAATGTATTTTTCAATTTTACATTTAGCTGTACAGAAATAACTGTTTAGAGAATATACTTTAAATTTAGATGATCAAAATACCAAAATATCTTCCAATTAATCATCATTTGAGTAACATTATTTACGAAGAACTATCTTGGGAATAAATCTCAATTATATAGAACCATGTAGGTAATTAAACTTATTGAGGACTGAATTGGGAAAACACCTTATTACAAAGGACCATTTGGAGAATTTACTCTTTTTGTAATGTATATGACCATGTTTGGTAATGTAAGTCCTATTTCAAGAATAAAGACATGGAAGTCCTATTTTGGTATATTTTCAATATTTTTGTCCTACTTTGGTCTTTCTCCCAAAGTATCCCAAGAATTTGTACCACATTTTGTACACCACAGGGATGCATCAACATTTTGTGTAGGTGTAATGCTAATTTTTAATAACGCACCAACACTTTGTGTCAGTGTAAATTTTTGTTAAAGCACCAACACTTTATGTCAGTGTTAATTTTTGTTAAAGTATCAACACTTTGTGTTAGTGTGAACTATCAAAATGTTGGTGCATACATTTAGTGTACAAGTGGGGTATAGATTTTGGGATACATGTAGCATGCTCTTTAAATATATCGCTAATTATTACTCCCGGTATCACACAATTGAAATCATTTTTTGAACAACATGTAGAATCAAAACATTTTTAAATTTTTTTAATTACAAATTAATATAAAAATAAAAATTACTCTATATAAATTACACTGTTCAAATATACATAAAAAAATTTAGAAATCACCTTAAATAGGATTAAAACATAGAGAAAAGTACCAAAATAGAAGTTTCATGTTTTTTTCTCAAAATAGGACTTTGCACTGTGGTAATGTGACAATGTACATGCATGTGCACAATACTATACTTTTTTGGTAATGTACATGATCATGTTTGGTAATGTAAGTCCTATTTTGGGAATAAAAACATGGAATTCTTATTTTGGTATATTTTCAATATTTTAGTCCTACTTTGGTCTTTCTCCCTAAAAAATTCTACAAAACAAAAATTAACAAGAATAATTTACTTTATCAAATGACTAATGATATCATACAAATAAAT